CGTTCGACAAAACAAACTATGGTTGCTACTTCTTCAAATCATGCAGAGATAATAGCCATTCACGAAGCAAGTCGAGAATGCGTTTGGTTAAGATCTATAACTCAACACATTCAGCAAACATGTGGTTTTTCTTCGAAAGAGAATATTCCAACAATATTGTATGAAGACAATGTTGCATGCATAGCTCAATTGAAAGGAGGATATATCAAAGGAGATAGAACAAAACACATTTCACCAAAATTCTTTTTCACTCATGATCTTCAGAAGAATGGTGAAATAGATGTACAACAAGTTCGTTCAAGTGATAATTTGACTGATCTGTTCACTAAGGCATTACCAACCTCAATATTTGAAAAGCTGATATATAAGATTAGAATGCATCGTCTTCGAGACATTAAGCGATTTTTCATCAGGGGGAGTAACTATACGCTACACTCTTTTCCTTAACCAAGGTTTTGTCCCACTGGGTTTTCCTGGTAAGGTTTTTAATGAGGCAGCAAGCAATGCATATCATAAATAACTATGTACATCCCAATATTTTTTTTAGAGAGTTTTTAATGAGGCACATTATCTATGGATATCCAAGGGGAGTATTATAATGAATATTATGGTGGATGTCTACTCTTCTTCCATGATCTTCGTCTAAAATGCTTAATGACATATTCAATGACATAATTTGTATGTTCAATGACATATTCCATAACATATTTTCTTCACTTTTATGCCTATATAAAGAAAAAATACACAATTGAAGAAGAAAATCTCTTCATGCTCTATCTCTATTTCTTGTTAATGTTTTACTAAATTGCTTTTATTTTATAACACTTATTAATTTGTTTGTGAACGCCGAAAGGAAGCAAAGCCTTTGGAAGAACCTAGACATGGATCCGAAGCTTACAGAGATTTCACAGCTGTTCGAACGATTCAAAGCTGCAATTGTACGGAATGAATTCGAAACTTGCACTAGATTTCTCTCCCAACTGAAGGTAATCGCATCAAATCCAGTACCTAATACTCAAAGCTCATTACATTTGTGCGGTATTGTTTCTCCTTTTTCTCTTTGCTAGACATTGGCAGTAATTCTTCCGACTGGTTGAAATCAGTGTTAATTATTCTCTTTATTCTTAACATCGAGTTGTCTTCTTTTGATATTGCAGGTTCTATTGACCGAATATAAGAGCCTGCCTCCCCTATTTCAGAACACTCCTAATGCTATCCAAGAGTTGACGATTGCAAGTAATATGCTCTTTTATTCTACTTCTTTGCTTAATTGCTTCATGACTGACTTTTGAAACATTGATAGAAAGTACATAAAGTAATATGAAAGTTTGTAAGATGGAACTGTTAAACAAATAATTAGAGATGAATATAGATGCTTACACATTTTGTGCGAGACGAGAGTAAAACAGAAAATCAGTAACTGTGAAGAAGACAAGACCTAGATTCTATGAGGCGCGCTTTCGGGTAGATTTAGTACCATTTTCCTATCTGGTGGGTGTGGCTGGTGAGAAAATAATTGAACATCATTGTTTGGTGGAACTCTAAAAAGAATGAGAAGTTGCTTGCTTGAGCTTTTAGTTTTGCGGTAGTTTCAAGACTAGATCTCTATGTTTTTCTTATTTACTGGCATAGTCGATCTAAGTATTACCAGCATCCTTGTTAATTTGGAACAGCTCATTGTTATTATGTTATAACACATTGCAGATAGCTTCACAAAGCTAGCAAGTACAATAGTTTTATTACCTATGCTTTCAGTTTGTTATACTCATTACTCAATCTGTTATCTATTTGTTGGAATTCTTGTTGGCTTTCAAATGCTACAATGATAGATCTTTAGCTGTATATATTTGGAAATTGGTATAATTAAATGGTTTTCCTGTTGTCGCTCATAATGAATTAATGATCAATGCCATAACAATTTACAGGAGATATATACGAGCATGCAGTTGTTCTAGCTGTAAAGATGGAAGACCAGGATGCATTTGAGAGGGACTTTTTCCAGCTGAAACCTTATTACACAGATGCTCGGTAACTAGCTGGTCACTCTTTAATTCTGCCTGTCATTCATTCTTCTGCATAATTAAAAAAAAGGGGAAACAAATCTGATGTTCACACGTCAAATACCCATGTCAAATGAGGTTGTAGAATAAGCTTTCTGCATCAAAGCTAAATTGCAACTGGATTGGCACCTTACAGTGCTTCTCTTCAAGCTTCAAGGCCCCATTTCCAACTAATTGAGGCTTTAAGGTTTAGAATAGCGCATGTTAAGTATTATTCTAGTTATTATTCTCACATGCTTTGTTTTTACCATAGTAAGAACGGCGTGTTGAGTCTGCTTGGTTGCTGCAATGTACTTGAATTTAACCATTGTGCTTGTGCTTCTCTTTTTGTTGTGATGGAACAGTGGTCGTCTTCCACCTTCTGCACAAGAATATCCAATCTTAGGTCTCAATCTTTTGAGACTCCTTGTACAGAATAGGATTGCTGAATTCCACACCGAACTAGAGTTGCTTTCTCCTAGTGCTTTGGACAACCCCTGTATACAGCATGCTGTGGAATTGGAGCAATCCTTCATGGAAGGGGCTTACCACCGTGTGTTGAGTGCGAGGCAATCCGTGCCTGATGCAACCTATGTTTATTTCATGGACCTGTTAGCAAAGACTGTAAGGTATGTTCTATTGGTTTTAGCAAAATAACGGATATCACCAACAGTATCTATAGCTATCGGCAGAACACCAGGCTGATGATATTGGATGCTACTTTTGCTTACTCTTTTGGCGTCTTTGAAGAACGACTTTATAAGAACTTTCAGACAACCTATTATAACCTAACCTGAATTGTTTTTGGGAACTGTCTTGCTAAGCACACTATTAGCCTGACATTTTACAACTTTGTCAATAAAACTCGGTCCACTGCTGATTGCCAATCCCTCATATTGTATACTATTATAATTCCATGTGACAATTTCAGATTTAGATTTAAATGGTGTAAATCCTCTGGTCACTGCTAGGGATGAGATAGCTGGATGCAGTGAGAAGGCTTATGACTGTCTTTCAATTAGTGATGCTCGACAAATGTTGCTGTTCTCCTCAGACCAAGAACTACTTGAATATGTTAGGGAGGTAAATCTACCCCTTTTCCTTTTTCTGTTCTGAGATAAGTTCTATTATACAAATACGCAAGTAGTTTAAAAGGCAAATAGTGCTATATAACAATATTTCTGCAAATGACATCCAATCTTCTGTGGAAGTCAGAAAGCTCTGAGTTCAAAGCAAAAAAAAAAAAAGACAAGAAGGAGAAAAGTTAGAAAGTTTTTAGTGCTCCAGAAGTACACAAAAGCATCATGATGTTTTCAATTTGGGATGTAGAATACCGTATTCCTTCAAATTTTATTCTCCAAATTTTATTCTCCAAGTCACTGCATTCCGGATCATTTACCATCCCTTGTCTCTCTTATTACTTCGGTTTCCTTTCCAGTTCCATAAAAGGCTCTTCACATTACCTGATGAACCAAGTGGTTCTTCTAAGGTTAACCTTCATGCTCCAAAATCTTAAATTGATTCTATAGTGCCAACAAATGTTCATATCCATCTGCTTGGAGAGCAAACACCGACTAGTGTGTTAAATCTTCTTTTCCCAAATTTCTTCTGTTAAAATAGCTTCCTGTGCTGCTATCTGGAGAAACATAAAATGATTCACTTTCTTAGGTGCCTTAGCTTTCTAAGGAGCCATAGAGTGTCAAGCTTTCCCCTAAGCAGAAAATTATAGAAGACCTAACAGAGAATTACCCCTCTTCTATGCATTTAACTCCAGCAGTCAGATCCTTCTACCATAATCTCCTCACTATAAAGTAGGAGTATAGTCTGTCCTTATCAATCTTGACTCTTTCAATATAAACAACAGTTCAACGGATTTCAATGACTAGTATAAACTATAAAGTATGGGACAAAGAAATATATTGGTATTAGATTGACCTTAGCCCAAACCTACTTAAACAACCTAAAGGCTTGGCCCAGTCTGAAAGTAGACCTTGTAGAAAAGTGGATAGGAAAGGTAGCTTATAGATTCAAGCAACCAACTCGTTGAAAACTACCCAATCTGGAAAGCGACATCCATTGATGAATGACTATACAATGGTGGTCTGTATGAACTAATTGTTATAAACTTCCTCCTGAAAGTTGTCTGCTTCAGTCTTAAGTTTTGCCTAAACTGAATATCCAAAACAACAATTTTCTGCCTCTCCTGAGCACTTCAGGAAGCTTTTTCTTTCCATCTATTAATCAATCAATCACGTAAACCTCAACCCCAAATCTGTTGAGATCTGCTGTTTATGAAACCCATTTTGCTTAAATATTTCTTGTGTTACACAAGCGTCTTGAAGTTTGATCCATCCAGTTATGCTATTTCAGGGGGATTCTAGTTTCCCATTCACGGGAGAAAAATCTATTATAAACAATAATACATGAGCCCTATATATAATACATATTCTACTCCTACTACATATGGGACTAGGACATATTCTACGCCTACTACATATGGGACTAGGACATATTCTACTCCTACTACATATAGGACTAAGACTATTTACACATAACTATCTAACATTTCCCCTCAAGCCGGTGCATACAAATCATATCTACCGAGCTTGTTACATTATTACATATATAACTAATACGAGGACCAATGAGTGACTTTGTGAAAATATCTGCAAGCTGATCATTCGACATACAAGGCCGCTAGACTCCCCCGAGCAACAAAACCAAGTGGTTGCTGATAACCAGAAGTTGGCTGAAAGGCCGTCGGAAAAATTACAAAATAGGTTCTAAAACACCACCAAAAAACAGAAACTTCTCTGGAAATTACTGTTCGCGCCGGAAAAAATAAAAGTTGTCAAAATTTGATGTAATTTATATGGGTAGGCTCGGAATCACTGGTCGAGTAAGTTGTCCTTAAGAAGTTTTGCCAGAAAGTAGCTGGAATGGCTCACACACGCCGGAAAAATTATTGTAGCGCGTGGAGGCGCGTGAGAGACTTTCTTCTGGAGCGATTGACGGGGGTATGGTCGCCTGACTTTTTCTACCGATGGGGAGATAACACAAATCAATCTTGAGTTGTCAACCGAAAAGACGCACAGTAACTGATTTTCTGTTCCGATGGGACTGGAATTTTTGGGGTTTGGTCGCACAAGGGTTTCGGATCTAATGGTGGTATTGGTACATGCACAGTACCACTGTAGTAGTGATAAACCCTGGGAACAAGACGAAGTTGTCGGAAAATTACACGGCGATGAGATCTTTCTTCCCGGATGTCGCTGGAATGATCATTGAAGCTCTGATACCATGTGAGAATGCATGAGAGAAATCTGTTATAAACAATAATACAATGAGCCCTATATATAATACATATTCTACTCCTACTACATATGAGACTAGGACATATTCTACTCCTACTACATATGGGACTAGGACGTATTCTACTCCTACTACATATAGGACTAGGACTATTTACACACAACTATCTAACACCATTGTAACTGCCATGCCAATGGATGCTATTGTCTACAAAGCTGGATGGTACATTATAAGCTGCTTTCACACACGATACTCCTCTACTATCAAATTTTCTTTACTTTCAAGTTTCCAATTGAGTCTCTCTCTCTTGGAATTGTGATATTAGAGAATCATCCATTTCCGCTAGCAATTCCTTTCTCCCAACCTGTTAATTTTCGAACTCCCAGTACTGGCATTTCTTCTAAATTGGATTTTTATAAGCTATTGCTTCTATTTTGAGCAATAATAGATTCTGAGAAACAAGAAAAGCCATAAAACTTTTGAATTCCACTTTTAGTAGCGTTTGTGTCCAAGTCTTTCAAATAGAATCTTGTTCTTTTCCAACTCCTACTTTTACATATATATTAATTCCAGAATTGATCTCATAAACTCCTTAGATATTTCCAAGGGATGGACCCAGGATTTGAAGGTAGCGGGGGTACTGATGCCTTTAATATAGGCTTGTCAATTACTAGCTAAAAAGCTCTTCTCAGAACATAAGAGCAAAGTTTTCAATTCAAAATTATCGAAAATCATTAATTTGATACTAACATAACAAAAAGAACATCGTCCATTCATACTTGTATGCGGCGTGTATTAATATTTAAATACAGTGCAAATATTTTCTTCATAATGCAATGACAGTAAATATTTCTCAAATTTATTTATGAAGTGACAAAAATCTAATTTCGAATATATAATTGTCATATGAATAGTTTTCCTTGACATTTTGTTAATTAAAAAAGTATCAAAGTCTAGGAGTATAATTATTAATTAAATTAAACTATTAAACATCTTGTGGAGCTCAGTTTGGAACTTCTACACTTTTGATGGGGAGATTTGGTTAAAAGGGAAAGGAAAAAATGAAGTAAATTGCTCCTAAGCACTTAATTATCTAATCGTTGAATCCAACCCCCCAACCC